TCGCCAGGTGATGTGGCTGAAGAGTGTCCTTTCGGAACTCCAGTTCAAACTCACCATCCCAGTACCCATTTGCGGTGACAATCAGGGTGCACTCTTCAGTGGCAGCAATGCCTACCGAGACCGCAGGATGAAACACATAGACATCCGCTATCACTACATTCGTGAGCGAGTCGAGGAAGAAGAGGTTGAACTGTTCTTTATTCCGGGCAGTGAGAATCCTGCAGATATGTTCACCAAGAACCTAGGACGCGTCAAGTTCGAGAAGTTCAGGTCCCAACTAGGACTTGAGTTCAACTCGTCCTGAAGGAATGGCCGATGAAGATTTCGCTTTCAAACACTATCCTGTGGTTTTCAGCGTGGGGGAGTGTTGATCAAATGATGATCTTATCGTCTGCCAGATGGATGTCGTGATACACATCTTATGACTCCATCACGTGTCATCTAGAGCCATGTCGACTCGTCCTAAATAGACACAAATAGCCCCCTGTATTGTATATAAGGAGGGCTCTATTACCCTATAATCCAAGTCTCTTGACTACTCCCGCATAGTGCCCACACTAAGCTCTCACTCACACACACCTCAGTTACCACCGCCATCACCCGGTTGCACCCCCGCGGGGGTCCTCCTGGGTACCCTCAGACGTAGCTCTGAGGGTACCTAACAGGTACCCCCCTGCGGGGCCCGCGGGGGGGATTTGGTCCATTTGGGGGCGGGGGCATATGCGGGGGTCAGCAGGGGGGGGTCTGTACATGTCATGTGATTTATCATTGGGAGCGGGCAGGTGGACGCGAAAAAAAATGAATCACATGACACATCCAATGGGCGGGATGGCGGCTGATGGCGGGGTAAAAAAATCACGTGATGCACCGCATGAAAATTATCAAAAATGGCTAGCAGGGGTTGGCGGGGGTTGGCGGGGGCGCTACTGGCCCCCCGCACACCATGGCGGGCAGTGGGCGCATTATCACGTGACTTTTGGGGCACCTTTTGTGCACCATTCGGCATGATTTCGGAGGTGTTGCTTGATCCATTGCATGCTGTGGCAGACAATGGGCGCATAATCATGTGATTTTCCGCCCAAAAAAATGGAAGCCTTCCCCAAATCATCCTGGTATCATTTCTATCGGTAAATACACTAGTTAAGCATGAATTTGAGCTTAGAAAGCCCAAAATGCACCCTGCACAATGGGACTGGTGATGCACTTGATCCCATCATTTGGCGGGGTCTGCTGCGGGGGGTGCCACGGGGGGTGCTGCGGGGGGTGCTGCGGGGGGTGCCGCAGGGGGTGCCACAAGGGGTGCCGCAGGGGGTGCCACAGGGCCCGCTGTGGGGTCAACCACAGGAGCAGGGGTAGGGGTGCATTGCATCATATTTTGATCTATCTATTCTTGCTGTGGTCATAGCATGCAGCATAATTATCCTTCATTTTGCCAGGAGTTTGGAGGCTGTGTCTGGGGTTGGTCTGCAGCTACAGCCATGTGACTCCCTGATGCTTCGGCAGGGGCTGGGATATCAAAACTGTGCAATATTGTCTGCATAATCCAGGCATGTAGGGTTAAAAAGAAAGTGTGATTTGTTCATTTTTTGGCTGGCAGGGTAGGTGGGCTGACATCATGGGCTGCATCGGGTCCACTGTCAACTCATTGATTGTTTCGTCTGCTCATTCTATACACATGCCCATTGGTAAACTGATCATGCTGTAGGCACAGTCTAATCTTACCCAGTGGATAATACCACACGTTAATTATGCACCTAATGTCACACTTCCTGTCTGGGACTCATTGAAGTTCATCTGTTCTGTGTTACTTTACAAGCAGTTTGCTTTAGTTGCAACATGAACAGATGTAATAGAGTGGATTTGACATGCCCTGAATTGATTCCTAGGTGGAATATGAGACAATGGATTCACCAGCAAGTTGCCTCACAATAGTCAGAGATTGGTAATATTTGAATTTCAAATTTCATATACAACACTCTGTGCACTCAGAGCTCGTATATTTGCAAGATAGACTGTAGAGACATAGATGGTTACTTTTCCTACCTCTGGGGCTGCACACATCCTTGCCATGACCCACTGCCTGCATCCTGCTGGTACCCCCATTGGCACCCCCGCCGGCACCCCTGTTGGCACCCCCGCCGGCACCCCCGCCGGCACCCCCGCCGGCACCCCCGCCAGTCTAGCACCCCCCGCTGCACCGGTGCCTTGTCCCCGTGATTTTCTTATATGTAAGATTATGTAAACTGACAGCTCGGAACACGTCAAGTCACTAGCCAATCAGAACCTGTATAAACGTCGTACCTAAGTGTTTACTGCTCTTCTAACACTGTTCCTACAGTTATGCAGCTGAAAACCATCGGAATAAGGTCTCCTTCTGCTATTCTTATTGAATATGTAGATACTTCATATCATTTGTCCACCTAAAATTTGAAACATGAAAAGAGTTCACCATTGCTCAAGGTTCCTATGTAGACAATGGTTCAACATGGTTCACTTTGGGTATGGCAAAAAATATTTTTTCTACACACAAGCAATTCAATACAGCTGAATGATATACTCTTTGGCAGTGTCTGAAACAAATTCTGAGAGCCCTGGACCCTGGAACTATTCAAAAACTTGAAATGAGTCCGAAAAATAGGGTCTTGAAAAACATGAGATATGGGCTGGTTTGAAGAGACATGGGCCACCGGTCATGTTGAATATAGTATTTTACAATGTTTCGGTGCCCTACCTCTCATCACATGGCCTCATTTCCTACTAAAAAGGGTGCATACACACTCAAGCTCATAAAATCAATTGTCACCCAGAAACAAGAGCAGTGAAGTTGTTTCACTGGGATTGGGTAAAGGTTACCTAGAAGTCACTTGGGTTGCAGTACAGAAGCTTTGGAAAGTGATTTTGTAGTTGATCCACATTTGGTAGGCTGGCAGATGCTTGTGCACCCCCACGGCACCCCCCGTGGCACCCCCCGCGGCACCCCCTGTGGTTGACCCCCCCCCCCAACCCCTGCAAGGATTTAATTGACAAATGTCCTGCTCAATCCATTGTAAGAGTCTACAGTATTATTGGATTCAGTAAAGGGCCCAAATGGTGTGTAGACAAGAAGTATGAAATCCGGAAATCAACAATTATGACACCTCCACGGAATATGCTGCAAATGGAGAGAAAAATTTGAGTGCAGACAGACTACCTGAAGCAAACAGACAGAGAAAAGAAACATTAGCCATTTCTTGTTGATGATGTTGGCTGTCCCTGGAGCATGTACTTGGGAGATTTGCCTAACAAATCAAGTTGCACATTTTTCAAATTTTTAGTTTGACCTGACAGCTTGAGCAGACCATGCTAAAATGAACCAAGTCATATATATCAGTGCCCCAAGCCAAGCCAAAAGATTTAGGTAAATTTGCACAGTTTTGATATCCCAGCCCCTGCCGAAGCATCAGGGAGTCACATGGCTGTAGCTGCAGACCAACCCCAGACACAGCCTCCAAACTCCTGGCAAAATGAAGGATAATTATGCTGCATGCTATGACCACAGCGAGAATAGATAGATCAAAATATGATGCAATGCACCCCTACCCCTGCTCCTGTGGTTGACCCCACAGCGGGCCCTGTGGCACCCCCTGCGGCACCCCTTGTGGCACCCCCTGCGGCACCCCCCGCAGCACCCCCCGCAGCACCCCCCGTGGCACCCCCGCAGCAGACCCCGCCAAATGATGGGATCAAGTGCATCACCAGTCCCATTGTGCAGGGTGCATTTTGGGCTTTCTAAGCTCAAATTCATGCTTAACTAGTGTATTTACCGATAGAAATGATACCAGGATGATTTGGGGAAGGCTTCCATTTTTTTGGGCGGAAAATCACATGATTATGCGCCCATTGTCTGCCACAGCATGCAATGGATCAAGCAACACCTCCGAAATCATGCCGAATGGTGCACAAAAGGTGCCCCAAAAGTCACGTGATAATGCGCCCACTGCCCGCCATGGTGTGCGGGGGGCCAGTAGCGCCCCCGCCAACCCCCGCCAACCCCTGCTAGCCATTTTTGATAATTTTCATGCGGTGCATCACGTGATTTTTTTACCCCGCCATCAGCCGCCATCCCGCCCATTGGATGTGTCATGTGATTCATTTTTTTTCGCGTCCACCTGCCCGCTCCCAATGATAAATCACATGACATGTACAGACCCCCCCCTGCTGACCCCCGCATATGCCCCCGCCCCCAAATGGACCAAATCCCCCCCGCGGGCCCCGCAGGGGGGTACCTGTTAGGTACCCTCAGAGCTACGTCTGAGGGTACCCAGGAGGACCCCCGCGGGGGTGCAACCGGGTGATGGCGGTGGTAACTAAGGTGCTCACACAGGTGAGCTGCTAGACGCTCTCCCCAGTGCTCAACAATTTGTTGCACACAGAAGGGGGTTCGCATGCAGATCTGAGCATATGACATGTTGCACTGGTTGCGGAGGTAGTGGGCCAGAGTGTGCTTAGTCGAAGTGATTGGAGAATAGACGTGTTTAGCACGCAGGTTTGTGGGTGGTGTGCAGACCATTTGAGAGTGTCAAGGGAAGTTGGAGGGTGGGAGATGTATTGTAGTGGACCTATGTAGCACCTACTCTACTACAGGCTACTGCAGGCACGCTTCCGTGGTGTAACAAGAGTGCTATGTGGTGAAGAGTATCTGAAAAGACATGTTGCCTTGCTTGTCAAGGCACTCTCCAGACCCTAAATTGTCGACACAAATCAGATGTAATGTTCCTGCATCTGATCCGATCAACTCGACTTTACCGTTGTATGTACGCACGCGTATCTTGTGCTTTCGTGCTCTCGTTTGCGCAGTGCGCTCTTCGCCGTGGTTTTCACGAGAGTGTGACACCTCCAACGCCCCCTGCATCTCCCGTGCGGCCGTCGCTAACAAGTTGCAAGTCCGCACTCGAGTCCCTCTCGTAATTGGCCATTCTCACTTCCGCTCAACAGCGTTCACTGAATTGCGCTCATCTCGCATGACGCCTCTGCGTCTGTGTCGCATACACCGCCCCATTAATTTGCGGAAGCGGTGGTGGTGGCGGCTGAGGCTTTGGTGGCCCCTGAGCCGACGGAGGGCGCGAACACGGTCGAAGACGCAGCCGAAGCCGATCCCACTCTGTTCGAACTCGCTGAACTGCACGCGATTGCCACCACCGCCGCCGAAGGTTGCTACCTGACCCCCGATGGTGGCTATCCGACGGCTGCAGGCCCAGGCGATCTTGCGAAGATCAGTTTAACCTTCCAAGCCACGGCGCCACGCAGCGGCAGCAAATACGCGGGGGCGTATACGAAGTCGTTTGGCGCTGTTCGTCAGATTATCAACTTGGCGCGGACTCCGGGTTTTGCTTACAAGGGTACCCTGGACGGAAAGAACGCCCGGCCTGGATTCAAACTCCAACATGCTCCTTTCCGTGTGAGAGTGTTATATCGACTTTTCGACTTCTCTCTGACCTTTGGTACCAGATCCCCGACCCCAATGACGAAGACGATAAGGGCTGTGAGTTTGCTTTGTTGTGATGTCACTGTCTTCAGTCTCACGGATCCGCTCAGCGTACGAACTAAACGAATGGCCTGTCAAATCCGTACTGGCGGGTGAGGAGATCCAGAGGATGGAGGGCAAGTATGTTGTTGATTGTTTGTGTGCGTACGACTTCGACGGAAGGATCATTGCGCCGGAAGAGTACATGAAGAAACTCCCGGGAGCCTCAGTCGCGATCACTTTCAACATGATTCACTACGCTTTCCCCAACCAGAAGGAAGACACTTTCGTGGCGGATGTCGTCGAGATTCGCCTCATTAAGTCACAGATTGCGCCGCCCCCCAGCCCTAAGAAACGTCGCCCGACCGTGCCTGAGATGGACGAGAGCCCAAAGAAGAAAAAAAATTAGGGCATCGGCCGCTTAGTGATCGGACTCGGATTGTATTTCAATTGTCCGCCACTGTATTGTACTCGTTCATGATTATATGACTTTAGTATCCAGTAGCAAGGCACAATGTCGGCGAAGCCGACGCTTTCTAGTTGTGTACACGTGGGAAGACAAATGATGCAATCAGACAGTGTCGGATCACTCGCTTCCCAATATGGTGGGAAATCAATTTCCGCCGTAACTGTACGATCTCGAAATCAACTTTAGATAAGATGCAATCAATAATTTAGATAGATAAGATACATAGTAAGTACATTGAATTTCGTTACACCTCTCACCACTGTGTGCCCATAAACAGTACCCATCCAGTCCGATCCGGATTTGGAGCGATCCCTCTGAACAACACATGCCCGCCGAGATAGTCCATGCGCCTGATGCCATCACCTGACTCATTGCCCTTCCGCAGATAATACTCGACCAGCGCCCTCTCCCTCCTGCCCTCTGTCCAACGATCAAACTCCCACGAATATACATGCTGCGAGAAATTCTGCACGACGCCCTTCAGAACATCCCCAAGCCTCACCCCAGCAGCATTGATGACCATGAATTTCCACGGAAATCGCACATCGGTCAGCGCCAGGCCTGTGATGTGCATGTGTGTCACCAGCGGCCGCGTCGCCGGCATCCACAGATCCTGCTCGAAGATTGGTATCGCGTCGGTGCAGGGTCCGCCATAAAGCGGATAGTTCGGCGCTCGCTGGATGTCCCAGTGCAGAGGCGCGGCGCCCGCCGGGGAATGCACCAACAGCGGATTGAGCGTGCATTCCCAAGGGAAGGCCTGCGGAGCACCGGGTGCCGGCAACTCCCACCCAGGGGGCTTGGAACGCGGCAAGGACACGTGCCGCAGTCCAGGGATCCAGTTTTCCGGGTGATGCGTCCCATTTGGACTACGCAGGCTCTCGAACACTTCCTGGATATTCACGCGCTCGAGTGGAATGTCCCGGTACGGAGTGGGACTAGGGGCTGATCCTTGTGAACAAACGTATACATCGATCAATAAGTCACTTACTGTCGCTGTTATGAACGAGAACTCCATTTACCATCGGTCGTGTCCAAGCAGCGTACTGTCGCCACTCATCGAGTGGCAAGATGCCAGGGTCGGGTGTGGGAATTTGGGGTTTTTCTGGATAAGGTGGTGCATCCTTGGCCGCTTTCCTACTCCTGCCTGCCTGACGATTGAGTCGGCGAAACCAGTCAAGAGCACACAGACACGTACTGGAAAATAACCTCTTCAATCCCCGACGCACCCTTCCCGGACTTTGAAGCAGCGTCCCCTTATCTACCAGAGTCGTCTCAGTCGCCCCGGATCTTGCGCTGCTCCTAGCCGGTGACTCATCAGGCCGCCCGTTGTTCCACGGCACTGTCAAATCGCGCACATCTAGCGGGTACGAGTATTTGGGCCAGGGGTCGCGCTGCCAGGGTATCGCGTTACTGCTCATTGACAGATAAAGAGCGCCGTTATGGAAAGAAGGTCTGAGATAAGTAGGATCATGAAAGAAGAAGATTATCGGCATATTCCCAGGACCCAGACCACGAGGCTCAGGCGTGTGCGGCAACACGTGTCGACTACGAATGAAGTAGCCATGGCGTTATGCCTGACGCTAATGTGAAGAGAGATAAGTGGGTGATGATGGAATGAGCAGACTGTTGCAGGCCCCTTTTGAACTGGCAGACTTGAAGGTAATTGGACCTGGTGGTCGTGGTACAGGTCAGAGCTGGATGATCACGATCACGTGGGTACACTAAAGGAGTGACGTCAATCTTATTGATCGATTGCTGCAATGCAGGATGTAGAGAGAGAGGCTAGTGAGCGCGGGAGAACAGGACTAAGCTGCAATATATATATATATACAAGTCGGTTGAGATGCCGTGCCTATCAGCAGTGCGTGCATTTACGAATGTGTGGTCTCAGTTTGACGCAACACCTTTAGTGTGTGCGCAGACCGGGGTCGGATGTCACATTGGAAGTGATCCGGTACCCTGTGTTAGAAAATATGTTAGCAGACGAGCAGCGAGACCACCGTAAACACACCTGAAAACAGAGTTGTTGAAGTCTACCTTCGGCTCGATAACATTACCAAATTCATCCTTGGGTTTGGAGATGTCTAATGTCGCCATCGCGTTCGCAAGGAGGATCCAGATCGAAGACTCGACCAGGCTGACCCCGGGACAACGTCTGGAATGCTGGTAAATATGGGATAGGTGGCACGCGTGATCAGTCATGTTACCTGCGACCAAATCCCTAATGGGATTCATCATTAGTCAGCGCGGGCTCTTTGAGAACGAAACAGAGGACGCACGAAAACAAAGCTGCGAGGATCTCGACGTTTAGCCAAGACGGGATCGTCGATCTTCTCCAGGTAACGCTCCGGCAGGAAGGCGGACGCATTCGGGAAAAGACCCTCGTCCCGAGAAATCGCCCTGACATGTGATCAACGGAAGTGCAACAGCGTAATTCGCTCTATCATACCACACGTTGGCCAAGATCTAGGTGCAGTCGAGACTTTTGTCAGTGCTAGTCCCGACTGGGAGTAGAACGTAACGCACCAGTGACCCTTTGGGTATGAACATTCCCCGATAGACATCGTCTTCCATCAAGCGATGGGGAAGGCCTGACGAAATAAGTTATGCTTCAAAACCGTGGCAGATCACTGACTGAGCGGGACTGGAACTCCCCAGCGATAGACTTCATTCAAGACCGCGTCCACTGAAGCATGATTAGCACTTTTGTCTGCCAATCAGTCTGACAACATACCGAAAGGCAAAGAATCACGGTCAGAAAAGGTTGGCAGTCTATCGGATCCCACTACTCGGTCAATCTCCTCCTGTGCTCGCGCAAGCACCTCGGGATGAAGCATCATCGCAAGCAAGAAATGACAGAAAGTGGTGATGGTCTGCAACGTGAGCGCATCAGCAATCCACTCAAAGTGTCAATCATGGGGCTTACAGTGTCCATGCTGGCCGCATACATCGAGTTCGCCGTGTATCTGAGATCGAATTCGAATTGCTGCGTGGGCGTTTTCGCATCTTCCAGCAGCATCGAGCAGAACGAAGGGGCATACTGCCCAGATTTCTACGCGAATGAGATGAATATCTCCTGATCCGCACTGGACGAATGCTTACCAAACTGGTTTTGACGAACTCGTAAGGTTGCTCGACAAACCTGGGCCGGCCTGCGTTAGAGACAGTAGAAGCAAGCAGGGCTGTAGCGCACTCGGTCATCTTCGCCTTCCATTTATCCGCTTTGGCGAGAAAGCCCGACCCTGGTGCCCAAGCGGGCAGGTGCTTGAGAGCCGGGAAGATATCGCTGTCAATGAGCTCGCGCGTGAGAGAAGGGGGGGATCACAGGTTAATGTCACCCACACAGGCCACTGGAACCGACGGTTAGTGCACATGATCAAAGAAATCACTGCCAACGCACGATTCCGCCGCCGGATGAGATCTTATTTGCCAGAATGTCCACGCATTCCTCGGCGAGTGTTAAGAACTTGTCGTCGGTTCCCGCGACTTCATAGCCGTACACAACGGACAGCGTCAGAGAGCCAGCGTAGCGGCGACTGTGTTCCATGTACTTGAAGGGGGAAGCCACCAGATTTCGAATGAAGGAGTGGGTCTCGGTTTCGATTAAGGGGTGATAGGCAGGAATGGCGGCCATGCCGAGGGCCCGGTTCATTAGTCGCCTTTGTCGTTTGGACTGTTCACCGTAAGGCGTGAACGCGACCTTGAGCATCCCGTAAGCCGCCAGCGAGGGGGAGCAAGTAGAGAGCGAGGGATACGCACCATGTCATCGCATCCGCACAGCTCGCCCGCCATCACTAGGGTCGGCTTGTCGCCGTAAATTGAGCCCTTTCTGTCCAGCAGATCCATCGTCGCTTCGGGACTGGAAGCCGGTGAGCGAAAACGCGCCAAGTCGGCGAGAAAACGCGTCTACCTCGATAACTGCACGCGCGCCGTCAATGTCTGCAGAACGAGAGACCGACAGAAAACGTACAAAAACAAGGCCTTGGCCCAATATATGAACATGGACGACATCGCCTGTACGCATATTCTATGAGAGATGGGCGATTGAGTGTGCAAGGCGAGCTCACCAAACTCTTTCGCCCAGGTCGTAGCCACCAACCAAAGCTCCTTCGGAGTAAGGTCGAGGATATTACCTAGGATCGGCAGGGGCCGCGGCCCTGGCGGGAGAGCACCCCGGCAGATAGTCGTTTCTTGTGCCAAATGAGCAAGCCCACTAGAAGAGCACCGGCGACGGCCCAAGGGGAACCCATCGAAATCAAGAAGGGGGGGAGCGCGGCGGCGGCGAGGGAGGGAGAAGTTAGTTTAGGAGAAGAAGAGGATTGGTGACAAGATGCACAGTGCTTTTGTGGGCTTCTGTCAGACACGCCATGCTGAGGAAGCTCGATGGATTGCTGCGACGCCGTAAAGGGTAACGAAACCAATCTGGCTTAACCGGACCTCCGCCGTGCACAAACTGACTCAAACATCGGCTGCTGTTCTGCCCGTCGATGTTGTCGATTTTCTCTGACCGAAACAGCCTGTGCCCCTGCTGTCTCTCCATCCGAGCGCATTCGCATCCGCCAGCGCCACCGAGCTTGCCGCTACAGAATCTCAATGTTTTTTCGGGACCGCGGGACTGGATAGAGGTCGTTACGTCTTCCACCACTCTCCCGGAACAACCCTGGGAACGTGGGCAGAAATCATTAATCAGGGCCGGCCTCCGCAGTGCTTAAGATCTGCGGTGGAAACGTCCGGTAGTCTAGCCCTGGCGACACTGGCTGGGGCCATCGGTTCCATGCACAATTTCAAACTCGCGACCCCACTTACATACTCGTCGGGCCATACAGTATCCTGAGAGCAGAAGGTGCGCTGTAACTCGTGGCTGACACATCCATCAGAATCAGTGATAGTCGACGAGTGAGCAGAACAACCGCTCGGAATTTGTCACATACATACTCACATTTCATCTCCGTCCGAGCCTGTCTCGTCATGGACTTATGCTAGTTTGGTTAGGGGGCTCTCGCTTCCGCGACTGTCTCCTTGCCAGACAACTTTCCGGGTCCCCAATCACAGGTTCTGTTCGTCGGTAACGAGCGCCACTCGGTGCTTGTCAGATCTCGTCCCATGTTAGCCGTCAGACCCGACTCGCGAGTCTCCGTTCGACCCGGCGAATCTGCACTGAAAGTCGTACCTTGGCATCAGGATCCTGAACTTTCGGACAGACCGTTTCTAGTCTCTGGCCGGTCTTCAGGTTAAATGTGTTTCCAAGCACCATGTTGGACCACAGTTCAATGAAAACTGGTCAATGCAGTCCGTTTGGGATGTAGTCCCTGACAGGACTTGTCCCTCGGGCCCAACTGTGCCGCCCACGTTCCGCGACTTCAGGACTCTTACTTCGAATAAGCATTTGAATTAGACTCCTTCGTCAATGCACTCGCTCTCTGCCCATGGCCAACGAGCGCATCTATAACCTTCAAGATGAATAATCCAATGACGCTAGTGCCATAAAGTACCGCTCGCCCGTTGACCTCGCAATGCCAGCAAACTCCTGGCATGATCTCCGCTCGCGCCTGCCTTGGACTGTTCCTGGTCTCTCTCGTCGCGGCAGTCGACACGCATCAGCGTAAATGTGCACTCTGTCCTAACAAGCTGCACGACAAAACGACCGGCCAAAACTACATATTCGAACTGCGTGAAATTCAGCCTGTCTATGTCGTCTGTGGGCCAGTGTCCCGGCTTCTATTTTACCGCGGCTAGAATTGATGCTTGTCCAGATATGCCGAACAGCGCATGAGCAAGATGATGGGACGCAACGGATGGCCGTATTGCACTTACAATGTGAGCATAGTCTATGGGCTTTGCTCAGTACACTTCAACCATCACTGCAGGACGATGGTAAATTGAACGGAACGGACATCAATTGTTGTCCAGCACAGCTGCCCTTGTCCAGTATCACGGAAAATTGTACCGAGTCAATGGAAATTTAGTGACGTCTGTAGTCAAGAAAAAACCGCTTGAGCGATTGCAACCGGTGGAAGAAATCAGAAAGTCGGTTGGAAGCGTGCGTGAGTAAGTACCACATCGTGGGCGGCCCGGAATCATCATACATCATTGATGCGCTGTCTCTCTGTCAAACTTTAATTATTCACCGGATCGGTTCTGATCGGCTGGGTTGACAGCCTGGACTCCACCTTTACCCCACCTGATCAAGGTTCTATCACGAGACCCTCCGGAGACACTGACATGCGAGAAACATGCGCGGCCAACGCTTTCCCTCCCCCAATCGATCCCTTCCATGAAAGTCATTTATTCCGCTTTCTGGGGCTCGTTTCTGCCCCTGCTTTCTCTGGCGAACGCGGATTCTCTCCGACGCACTACACTCGCTATCGATCCTCTGAAATCATGCCGTGTGGAAGTGGCGTCCCGGAAATACGATCTGTGCTCCCTCCTCAGGGGAGGCGCTCGTCGCTGGTCCCTCGCATGGGGAGATGAGCGCACAGAATACACCTTCGATGCCGGTTCGGGCTCAGCTGGAGTTGAACTTGGCCAGCCCAGTGCTGTCCCGGATGTACTGGATCTGGTGGAGTTCCCAGGTGTGTCATGGGACGCATGGTTATCATCCTTGCAGGTGCTCACCACGCTCTAGCTTATTTCACGTTGAAGATCTCTGGGAAACGTCCGTACTGTGCGCGGATCGGTTATGAATGCACAACTCGAGATGTTGCACAGGTACTACAATTACGTACAAGCAATATCCTCCATTTTATTCACAGCGCTTCTAAGCAGCCTCGTTACTCTGGAGTGGACTCGGAATGTGATACGTTCAGCTGGCACACTCCTCACTCATGCACGCCGCTGCATGCGTTTGAAGAAGATAGCGACGCACAACTTCCCCAGAATTCGTCCGAACCCGATAACCCAGACGACCACTCCGACGATTTCCGAGGCCCTGATCAACGACGCGTATCCAGGATCTCCCTTGTCCTCGCTTTCATTGTCATATCGTAAGCAGAATCCAATGATCCGCGACTCTATGTTCTAATAGAAAACTTGTAGCGCCGTGGTTGTCTTGTGCACTGTAATATCCTATCGCGGGCATGGGATCTCTGTTTCTGTGATTCAGAACCGAGTCAGTCCGCTCATCGACCGCTTACGCGTCTTCGAAATTCCTTCCATCACAATACCTCACTCCTTGCGCCGCACCGGCCAAGGAAAGCTCGTGCAATGGGCCCACGAGGATTTAGAGCTCGGGGAGGATTTCATGGTCAACGGAAGTTTCGAGCCCGATGATACAGTCGAGGACACTGGCGATGAATACATCCCCCTGCGACCCAGCCCTAGAAAAGGCCAGATGAAGAACTATGGCTCTGCGCCTGCTTCCCCGTTTTGGTAGTTGGCTATAATAAATAAATATATGTACCCTGTAGAAACAAACATCCAAATGTAACAAGATGTACCTGAAGAAATTGGCCTTATGCAAGTCCCCGACCACGTATAGTCTAGATTCCAACATTCAGTCCGGTGGATAGATAACGCCCGAGGTCCGGATCGTCCCGACGAAACTGATCTCATCATTCTTAATCTTCTTTCCGCCCGGTTTAGGCAAACGGCCCCGGTTGCACAAGTATCTAACGGCCCATGTGCTGAGAATGCAGACCAGGAGTGGCTCTCCGGTGCAATCTGTGCCGTGGAATAGCCAGGCAGCAGGCGCTGCAGAAGGGTCTCGATTTAGCCCAACTCTGGAGCGTCTCGATGAGAGCCACCGGATTAAACTTTCCCGGATAGCATCTTGTGATACTAGGCGCCGGAAGCCTCCAGTCAGCAGTTTTGACATGCTAACAGGGAGTAGACTGGCCTGGGACGCGTGGACAACTGAGTATCATCCCGATTCGGCACTTCTAGGCCTTGAAGCCCAGCTGTTCGTGTAGGAACGTGCCCCCGAGTACCAGCACTCAATGACTCAGGCCGATTGTGCGAACGGGCTCGAAACGTCGTGGATGCCTAACTTGACTTGCTTGGGTCCGAAGACCGCCCGCGCGGCTCGCGGTCGCCGGAGCTAGGAATTGTCGATAGGATCCGAGTTGCACGCGAGGAGATGGTTCGAACTCTTAGATGGCCCAGAGCAGATATCAGTCTGTGAGACCCATTGGGGCATGCAGCCCGAGCTAGTAACGCTCGGACTCCTCGGTGCGGCGACCCCGCAGCGCGTGCTGCATGCCTCGCACGTGACAGCTCGAATTCCTACATCGCACGATCTTGTCCGTGGATTCTCTCTCTGTGCGCATTTACCTGTTTGCGTAGATTCCATCCGCGGGCTTGCACCTTGTGTATTGCTTCTCTATGAGCCCTTCGAAGACCTTCTCGCTCCGGTCAACACGCTGCGACTGACACACTCAGAGGAGATGCTCGATCGCCTTATAGGGCTGGAACGACGGCGAGAAGAACATTGCTATGGCTACATACGGCGTTGAATGCAGAACCCGGTCTTTTCGTGTCTGCGCAGGTGAGCATGTGCAGTGAGCCCGTGTGGAAGCCGTCCCGATCGATGTTGACTTGACGAAGACAGTTTACCCGCACGTCGCGGTAGACGAGTTTAATTGAGCGCAGCTTGGCTCTGCGCTGTGCAGTCGGCTCACACTATCGTACACAACGGCTTAATCTCTGTCTCCTTCTCGAAGCCCGCGATCGTTTGATCTCAATCTCTCTTTCGACCTTTGCCTCTTTCTCGACCGCCACCATCTCCGTATCTCCTCCATAACACTACCACCGATACTTATTCCGGCTAATCCTGAGCTCATGTGCTAACCTCTCTTCGGGTATACCGCTCTCTCCTGAAGGGGTCCATTTTCGGCTTTATTAACTGATTCTCTGCCAGCTCGAACTCGATATCCTCGTGGCAAAAGGTACCAGCACGTTCTATTCATCCTCAACAAGAAGCACGCGTCAGATTCCGCCTTCCTGACGCGCTAAGGCCGACTTTCACCGGATCATCTTCCCGTAGCCCATGTTTTCGCTGGTTGCGATGGACTTCGGAACCTCGGGCTTGCTGCTCATTCGCTGAGTTAGTACGTTGGTCATCCAGTCATTGCCGAGAAGCACCGGATTTCTGGCTGTTGCCAGTGGAAAAGTAATGCGCACGGCGGAAGTTCGAGATGAGTCGCGATCTCCAGCCTTGGAGGGTACTTAAGCCCACCTGGTCCGCCTCTCTGAAGCATTGAACGTCCCTCAACTTTCCGACCTCTTTACGAATCCGACATGTCGTTCTTCAGCTCTCTCTTCGTACTCTTCGCTCTGGCTGTCACCTCTATCCAGGCTCGCGCCGTTCATCATCACCATCCGCCGGCTCGGCCCATCTACTCACCGGCTCGGCCCGTCCACTCGCCTGCTCCCAACTTTGAGGCAGATGCGTCGATCAACGTCGCAGGAATCTACGCTGCGACGAAAGGATCGCACAGCAAAGTTCTCGCCAGCTACCCTACACAAGCGAATCGGAAGACCATCACCAGCATCTACGGCGATTGGATCTCGCTTCCGGGTGTCTCAGCGTTCCACTTCATGGCGGACATGGACATCGACTGTGACGGTCCGAAGGCTAACTGCAAGGTACTTCCGACTGAGTGGCTGTGTCTCTCATCTCATCTTTCCGCAGGGAAACCGTGATGGACAATCCGAGACGTCTTTCGGAGCGCTTGATGCGACGAAAGTTCCGTATTTCGTTTTGCCTGAGCGCTTCACCCGGGAGAACAAGGACATCCTCAAGAACAACGCTCTAGGCGCTATCATCTGCAATGGGAAGATGTTCTATGGAATCTACGGAGACCAGGAGTGAGCGCGGGCCCATTCATCCGCAGGCGGCTTCATGCTCATGAGAATGTTTGCAGCGCTGACAGCCCTGAGGTCATTGGCGAGGCTTCCATCCTTGTTGGCCGGAGCTGTTTCCCTGACAGTACCATCGACGGAAACAACGGTCATCCCGAAGCTGATGTTGCCTGTAGGTTATACGTCGCCGCCTCCTTCCCGCGTGTTAACCTGTCCGTTTTCAGACATTGTATTTGGCTCACAGGTTCCATCCGGTGTACAGAGGAGCAGCATCGACGTAAATGCCTTGAAGGCGTTGGGTGACAGCCAAGTCAAATTGCTCCAGTCGGCTCTCGGTCTCTAGTCAGGTCTTGACGAGCGAAGATACCAGCAGGCTGGTATCATGTATCAATATCACTCCTCTCTGCTCCCTTTGTTGTATTGTACATGTACATGTACCTTTGTATAAATGAAATGACCAATGTAAAACACTCTTCTCTTTGCGATCAAACTATTTCAAGCTCCGCTACGTACACGCATTTTCTGCATCACCACCACTAAGACCACCACACGACCTTTGTATTCCATGGCTCTCCGCGGCGCTCCTCCTCACTCAGGCCCGGCCTACATTCCCCAGAGCCAGTCCCAGCTCCGTGCCAAAAATGACCCTAACGAGTCCGCCTTCTCGCGCTTCATCCGCACGGAAATCATGGCCCCCGAGAAACTGAGCGGTAACATCAGCCTGGTGACCGGTGTCGGGGCCTTCGTGGCTGGAATTGTGGTTATACGAACATGGGGCGAGATGATGATCCCAGCCTAAAATCTGTGCGTTTGGACCCCCGGAAGAGACAACAAACAGCTCATCGTTTTTATTCAGAGACGCGGCGCGACACGCAGCTCTGCCATCTTACTGTTCACCTTGCTGCCTCAAATCCCATCCCATATCATCTGTATATTACATATTGCAAGCCGAGACATGCAAGAATCTTTAATGAATGCGTACTTTGCACACCGTGTTATGAATTCACGGTCGTGCTTCAACGGTCTACCTCTCCATTCGCCTACCTCTCTGCTCTCGTGGTCCCTCTGCTGGAGGTATCCCCATACCGGCTAGACGTGACCGGGCAAAGGAGTTGGGAGTCAAGGGCATCTGCATAACGCTCACAACGGAGTCGTGCCGAGGCGAGGAACTAGACAAGCCCAATTTCGGCCTGGAGACAGGACGCGGGAGACGAGAACCGAGGGACTGTGACCGTTTGAGATTGCTGGGGATACTCGGTGGTGTAACGACGATTCTGAATGTGGGAGGATCGCCCACCCTGGAGCCGCTGGAGTGGCTCATGCGCGATTCCACGGAGTGATCTTTCCTGCGCGACTGTGCGGCTGAGGCGGCGGGTGGAGACCCAGGGCCGGCACTGGGAGAGCGTGGTAGAGGCTTGCTCTCTCCTTGAGGCTGTCCGTCAGTACATGAGACTGAAAAGCACGGACCACGCACGGGCGGATCGCCAGGCACCCTGAGAGTTTGAGCGTGCTCTGCCAATCTCGCGCTGAGAAGGTAATCTATCTGCAACGTTATCGAGCTGCTGCAGATAGACTCAGTCCCTCTTAGATAGAGTGTCGAACGGGCCGCACCTTTCTTCTCTTATGCATCGTAAAGGCACTGCCGCATTCAGTCGTGACGGAGCGGATGGATCACACATGGCATACCGGATCTGCAAGCTTCGGCACCTACAGGACGCAGCCGCGTCATATATCCCAAGGGCCGTGGCCTCAGAGAGCTCGATGTGCATGGCATGTCTGACCAGCGCCTGCAGGTGAGGAATCGTAAACTCGGTCGATATCAACAGCAGATAACTGAGCACAGCAGGAGCGCGCTGCAGAGCCGTGTCCAGCGAGAGAGAATAGAAGTACTGCATCAGGGCCAGGGTTACAGGATACGATTGGGTCCAAAAGCAGCTCGTCAGGGTGAGTGTCAACTGCGTGCGCTTTCCATAATGAATCTTGCTGGGCTGACCGCCGCTGATCATGGAATAATGTTCGCGGAACCAAGGCCACGCCTGCGCCAGTCGCTGCTTACAGCAGCGGATCTGACGCTTATCTTCGCAGACAAACGCGAAATCCATGTTCTGCCCACTCTCCAGCGACAAGAGCCGACGCAGTTGATCCACGCGACAGAGCTTGTGCGACGGCGGCTGGTAGATTCCGATTGCCTCCAAGTCGACGGTGACTAGTGTGTCCCAGAAAATCGGATGCTGGGGACCCACCGCCGATTTGAGGCTGGCAAAGAAGTAGAGCTTGCTCTGCGCATGGGAGATGCAGGCTCTCGCCCAGACCCCGTCCTGGAGCGTCCGGCCGAGCGCGGCTGCCGTCCAGATCTTCGTGGCCATATCGAATGTACGAATCACCAGACGATTGTCCTCCGCAATTCCCATTAGAATCAGACTGTTTCCAAGAATGGCGTTGCTGGGACAGCGCAACAGAGGAAGTCGGCCAATTGCGTCAGGTGGTGTGCTCTGCACCTGAATACGCCCGTCGGTCAACGGAGACAGGACGTCGATTCTGGGGCGCGATACTTCTCCCTGGGAGAAATGTCATGGAGTATCCACTTTGAATGCAGTCCACGCACCATGTGATAGACATGGATATCGCACAGAGACTGCTGAGTAGCGTGTTCCGAATACGGTAGCGGGACGGGCTGCGGTGCAATGTGGGCAAGTTCCTGGGTACGTTGTCTAAACGTTTTTACGTGCCAGCGAGATGTCGCCACGGCCGACGTTCCGGAATGGACAAAATGAAGATAAGTATGCCGTCGGACCCATTCGTGCTTCTCCAGATCATACACACAAATATCATCCAACAGCTGTCCTGGAAAGTTTTCGCCCCCAAACACGAGGAGATGGTTACCTGACACACAGCTTAAATGAGAATAGCGCGGCTGAATGACAGGGAGGGATGCAGGAAAGGCAATAATAGGAGGTGCGCGCGAAGGCAAAAGCCAGGAATGTGTCGAGAGGTCGAAAAGCTGCACGTCGCTGAGAGTTTGGGATACTTTCGATCCTTTGCTGCGAGTCTGTCCACCGAAGACCACGAGATAGTTCTGCCCTGCACCAATCAATAGTAAGCATTGGATCGAGTACCGGGAGCCCAGCAATGACCAACAAAGATCTGTTGTGTGATAGTGGCGGGGCGAGGGAACAGGGCTCCCTTCGACCGGAAAGACTTGATCCCATCGGAAAAGCTGCAGATCAAGCACATACAAGTCCGAGACAGAAACACCGTCGCTTGGACGGGAACCTCCCTTGATGCGCGTCAACCTGCGAAACCCCAGCTGCAAGGCAAATCAGACTCACGTAGAGATACATTTTCGAGCCCACGCAAGTCGTCGTGGCTCCCTGCAGAAGGGTCAGAGATGATAATGACTATCAGACACGGTCGACGAACCACCAGGGCTGGGGGGGTCGTCCCTCGTGTCTCCCTAAGCTGTGTCACCATCTCCGCCGTAGACTGCCAAGACATCGAGGACGAGTGAGAAGGGATTGGCAAGAGTCACTCCAGATATTCAGCCCTACTATAAGTGATACCGCGCTCAATGGGATCATGACGTCGACTGCGATTTCCCGCCAGTGGACCACGCGGAACCTGCGCGTGTGAAAGCTCGCACATAATATTCTGTCGTGATGCGCAACGAGATCTAGATTCGGCGCATGCTGTGCGCAATGCAGGAGGCGATCGCGAGCGTGCCATGTCGCATTCCATTCAGTTCGGTATCAGAATGTTGCGCCTCGTACTGCAGGACACGCGAAGAGCTGTTCGTCGCCATGTCGAAGACTGGTTGGGAGCATCAATGAAAAGTGGTGAGATCGCGTGCGATTCGCGTGGGGAGCTGATTTCTGCTTTTCGAAGACTGGTGGAACGGAGAGACAACACAGGAAGACGAAAGAACCATGGATTCAGGCGTTGATGTAAATCCAGGTGTATGGGACGGGTGTTGCCTCAGGGCCTTCTGGGACAGACACACTAACTCAATGCAGCCAACGGTCTGCATCCGGGCGAAGTCAAGGTAACTTGAAAGTTGAGACTGGCTCATACTGCGCAAGCAACTGTAGCCGGAGAGTTGCAGAAAGACAGTTAACAACAGCAAGCATTGATGGCACGTGCGACGCGCTTGTTTAAGCTTGGCTTGCAGGCTCTCATTGAGACTGTCGTCTGGACCGTCGAGTGCGACCTTCCCGCTCTTCCACATATGCAATGAGACTCAAGTTTAATGAGACACTAATGGTCATTCCTCTATAATATGCTGCACTCTTATGACCTCCGCCCTCCTAAACGTATCCTTCAAAGCATTTAGGCCTTCCATTGCGAATTCCTTCTCGCAGGTGGAAGTCAGTCGGCCCACAGATAAACACTATCTCATTCTCGGAATTCTCTAGCACTCGCCAGCTTCTCCAAACTCTACTGAACGGTGCAACTCCAGATGGAACAACCGGATGCGTTCTGACGAGAAGGTTGAGTGAGAGCGGGAATCACATGGATCTTATGTTTGAGAATCATGCTCTGAAGGACTCGTACGTTGTGTCTCGTCCATACGAATCTGAGCAGCGAACCAATCAGCAGTCGTTATCCTCATGAATCGCTTCCTCCTTGCATCCATCGCTTTACCGACAGAGAGCGCTTCCCCCGCTTCGTATAATGGCCCACTGCTCGATCTGCAAATCAATGAATTTCGCCTTTCTGCTGGGAGTGATCTCCGCAATCGATGAAAACATCCGGTTTGGGCCAGGCTCGTTTAGTTTCTCCATGCCACAAGTAAACTCAACGAATTCCGAGACTCGCCCATTCAAGCAAATCTGGGGCAGACATACAGTTTCCGAGTTCCGACTCGTTGCTATTCTTGTGATGATTTGAACTCTTGTTCTCCGGGTTGGGAGATCTGACAAGTGTCCCGGAATACGGCATCGCAAATCATCGGGTCGGCGGTGCTGACGTGAGAAGAGATTTTTCTCGACTGTGCGTCGCCGAAGATCAAGTCTCTAGAAAGGACCATCCTTTTTTGCTGCTTGCATTACCTGTGTCTGTCTGATTCTAGGGACCTCGTATGCCCACGCACTGCGATCTGCCACCCCGTGATACTAGCGAGCAAACTGTACGATGCAGGATATTCATTGGCTGAGTGAATCCTGCGGCAGGTTCATTGCTTCTGACTCTACGCATTCACAATCCGCTCGGGCGACTCAATATCTCACTATCCCAGCTCGTGCCAAGTGGCTCTCGAATACGATGACGACTAGTTCTGAGCACGCGGCTCTGGGAATTCGCGCAAAGCAGATGCGAGCATCTTTCTGACCATCCCTTTGGCTGAAACTGAGACTCAATCGATGCAGTACCCTCGGCAGAGCGGCCCGCAGAAATGGTTTCGGGAGCGGCGTATGGAGAGAGGAGAGATGTGTCCCTGTTCCTGTAAGCGTACGGTTCAATCGCAGATCCAGCACCTCACATGAGACAAATCTGATTCGCTTTCAGGGCACCTGTAGTTTCTTGAAACCCTCTGAGTCTAAGTGCGAGATTGCTTCCCGTCTGTAACACGAAAGCGTCCAAGTCTACTTGGCAAGGACTGCCATATGAATCCCTCTGCATCATTCACTCGGATCAGAGTTCCTCGCTCCTGGGTGCGGTGGGAAGTTGATAGCTCGGAGAGGAATGGTTGGCGTTGGGCGATCTCAAACATCCCCTCCTTGATAGATACTGGTGAAGGGCCGGACAATATCACGGGAAAGACATACCTCAGAGTGGTAAGCCTGAGATCATGCCACCTTTATCTGTCTCTGAAGCTGTACAAGTGTTTCTCCCGCTCAGATCTGCAGCGGGACTTCGGCAATGCATCAAGGGAAATCTGAACCCCCTCGCTTCTTGCAATCAAAGCACTGGTCGGAAACCAAGATCCGATCAATATCTGTTTGTTTGTCACGAGTTCACGATCGAGCCCTTATCGAGCCCCGCCCGCGTCTTTATGGAGGTCGAAAACTACATGCTGATACGCGGCGCACATCTATCACAGGTGACATGATGAAGTGATCAACAGTTGATTCATGCACATCAGAGACCCCGTAGCGTTTAGCCACCAAATGCTGTGCACCTTAATGCGTCACAGCCACACCACTGATCACTTAGGGCGTTTCAATGCTTGTCAACATATATAGAGTTTACGGGGGAGAATGAGTCTCCCTCCATAATAATATACCCATTGCCCAAATACTTTCGCTAATCTTCTTGGAGAGAAGATAACTTGAAAAACTCACAGTATCTAGAGCAGACATGCTGCTCAGGGAACTGCTCAAAGAATTTTCCGTAGTTTCCTCCACCAAAGAGGCCACCATCAAGGGAACTAAGCAGATTCAAGCAGTGTTTGGAGTTCCGGGTCATTCAAGGACTTACGGGGATGTCATAATCTGCGGATCAGTCAACAGAGCACCGGATCCTAGTAAAAGGTGGGTTAGAACCAAGCCGTGAATATATATCCAATCCAGAATACTCACCTTGCAGGTCAGAGAGAAAAACAAGACCATCCGTTTGCTCATATTGAACATGTTGAGTGAAGCACAGGAACTCTGCAAGAGAACGCCTATCAGGGCTGAGAGATGCAACCGGAGTTGCACTATTGTTATTGATGTATTTGACAAATTTGCCTGAAAATAACTGTATAAGGCAGAGGCTTTAACTGTGAAAATCTCCTTACCTGTTCCAATGAGCTCTTCTAGAAGGTAGGTCCGTCGAAGAGAACTCATTGTCTTGCTAGAGCTCCCAGCTGCCGCAGCTTCATGAACCATGGCATTTCCAGCTTCTACAAATCGAATGTCGAATATGGGCTTCTACAAATCGAATGTCGAATATGGGAAGGTCATCGGGCGGCGCCCCGTACTTGCCAATGAAATTGTGAATCCAACCCATGGTGAAACGAAGGATGGCTGTGCCCCAGAAGAGCAAATTAGCCTCGGAAATGGTGTGTTCATACTCGTTCACAGGGTCAAATCGCTTCAACGTCTCTCTGGTCCTGAACATGCGTTTAAGCGCAACATGCTGACCAGGGGAGGCACCCAATGGGGTATCCGAAAGTCGGGTGAGTGTCAGGTAGGCAGAATGAGCAGATTTGAATGTTCCAACACCGAGAGGAGATGCTGATGGCTTTAGAGCCAAAGTACCACCCTCGGCTGCGGACATCTCAATCTTGAATGCTCGATTTTCCCTGAGCAAATCCTGGAGACCGCTGGGGCGAATCCGGAAGAACTCAATTGTTTCAGATGTGTGAATGGCTGAAAAATGTGTTCATCAGTGACCAGTTAATCAAGATAATCAACTCACGAGCACTCTTGGAGACAGTAACAGAGGCACCGCCAGCATTCAGAGCATTTCGCAATCTCTGCCTGTCCAAGGGCTGAAATTCCTCGATGTCAGATTCGGCAGAGCGCTTTTTTGAAGGAGTATCAGCAGAAATCTAATGTAAAGTAGAAATATAAGTCAGTATGAGTACCTTCAGGCCATGATTCACTTACAGAGTTGTCATTGGTGTTTTGGGAGATGATCTCTGCATTGTAGAGCTCATACTGGACATCCCGAGTTTGATCAGAGACAGATCCTTGCATGGATCGAGTTCGAATGGATGACCGAGGCTGTCTCATGATCAGTAATGGTGAAATACTGAATGGTTCAAATTGACGCACCACTGTCTGAGTCGTCCTTGAGTTTGATTTCCTTTGCGAACGAGTCTGCATACGTGATTTGGACTGTGCAGGCTCAGTGACCAGAGGCTCTGTGGCTTCAGTAAATTCAGCCTAAGAAATGGATAAGCAACCAGACTTTGTACTCTGAGAAAACGGACTTACCTGTAGATTAATTGAACTACCTTTGGACTCGCTCTGTTCAATTTGCTCCTCCTGGAAATTGAGGAAGCGCTGCCATTCCTTGTAAGGAATGACAAGGACAAAAACAAGCGCCCTGGCAGGACGATGAAAGTCCAGGGTATTCTGTTTTTGCCTGTGCCTAGCTTGAGGTAACGGTGATACAGGAGTGGTTGGTGCGGCGGCTCTTCATGAATGTTGATCCAGCCTTCCAATTGGCGCACAACAAAAGTAGTGGTGTTGAACACAAACTGAGAAGCGGTCTCCTCTGCAATTTGGGCAGCAAGCTTTCCGCCACCAACTTCGAGCACAAGTTGGATGATCTCACTTGCTGTTGCTTGAGCACTGATGTTTTTGCCCTCGTTGATAGTCTAGAAGCAAAATCAGTGCAGGAGACTTGTAGGGGGGACAATTTTGCATACCCCAAAGACCACACCGTTTGGTTTCCCAGGAAATTCGTGGCGAACACCAATATTTAATGTGAGAAACTCCCGAGATAGACCAGAATAGGCCATATTTCCCCACAGAGAATATTGAGACCCATAGCTAGCATGTGCAGAGGAATATCCCTGACTGTTGAACTGCGAAGCAGCCGCAGCAGAATTTGGAGCAGCCACAGCCAGTTGACCAACCGCCAACTGATTAGGCACAGAAATTCGTGGGACTAGAAATAAATAAAAACATTTGATAGATTCGGTTTGGTTAAGAAAAATGCACAAACCTGATGAGCCACTACTCTGTCTTTGCGGAATTATTGCTGGAGGAGCCATCAAACCAGCGCCAATGGGGGCAATTTGACCTCCAAGAGACTTGTCTGCTGGATGTCAGAAGGGAAATACATCGAATAAAAGCCAACACATACCACCGAGCCTCCCCTCAATGTTCTGGCGTCGGATTGCCTCTCGTTCAGCTTCCAGGTTTGGAGTGGCAGGTGGCGGCAGCAGAGGACGTGCTGCTGAAGGACCTGGTGCTAAGTAGGAAGAATCAGAAAAGAAAATTTGTCAACTGAGAAGTGTACCTCCTCGTGTACTGGTGCGCTTCCCATCATAATATACATAGCACGCTTCACAAACAACCCGGCTGCCTGATACCTGAGATGCGCTCTCGACTGTGAATCGGGGTTGGCCTGGCATGACTATGAGACCTTTGGCAGTATCAGTGCGCAAAGTCGATTTGCAACGACGGCCAGATCGACATTCAAAAGGAATATCAACCGTGGCATCATTGGTGAATTTGGCGTAGAGCACACCAGCGTTTGACATCGAAGAAAATTGGAAGGAAGGCGAGTTGACCACGGTCCTGAAGTGAATATCCCTCTCACATTTTATGGTCCATGCCTCACCTCTGACCTCATTTCCGACTTCTCCCGATATCTCTCAACATCCGGATGTGACCAACGTGAAAATAAATAAAAATAGGCAGAAGATCATTACGGATCAACACATGCAGATAATATGAGATTATGCGCGCTCAGATATACTTTTTGTGCTTGCCTCCATCATTTGGAGACCAATAATTCTCCTGTATGCTCCGAGCGGCATTTTTGCCATGCATACATCATTAACATTCCCCGTTCCCATTCTCCGTAATCACCCGATTGCCTGTGAAGTGCTCCTCTCCTGAGCACTTCATAGATCCGGATTGCGGCGAGGCTAGCTCATTATAAAGACTGAACATTATACTCATGCATTCTCAGGTTAATCCCACTCTTCCTACTGTCGTCACATTGCTCTTTGTTCTGTCATCTCAGACCACGCTGCCATGGGGCGGAATCAGCACAAGCCCATCCGTGTGTTATATCTATATACATGATTTTTGTGTTGTTAATCTGACGAACTGCGCTCTAGCTCCTGCAGAGGACCTTCAACCATTCATTGCTAAGTACTGGAAGCAAAATAAGTCCGATGTTGCTATCCTTGCTCTCCTCAAGAAACATCATATTGATCTCTCCAAGTATGGACTGGAGTGAGTCATTATCTTATCAAGAATTTTGCGAATTTTTTTCTCTAAAACTCAACTCAGAATCGCATCGTTCCGTAAAATTCATGAAAAGTTGGGGTATATTCGAGCTCGAACACAAGGTCACACGGTTGAATCTATTGTGACTCCGATTTCCAAACTTCGCATCACTTATCCAAAGGCTGGAGGTCGAGAGATGGTCAGCCTCCTCTTTCATGAGGAGAACATCCGGGTTGCACGGTGCGTCAAAAATTTCTTGGTGCTCTCCCAGACCTGATGGATCATCATGTAGTGAGACAGTGATGCACTATTTTCGTGTCTATGAGCCAGATTTAGTCCGAGAACGCCGACAGCGCCATTTCAAACGCAAGCGCTTCTGGGCTGCTGGTGCTAATGATATCTGGGCTGTAGACCAACATGACAAGTGGAAGTACAAGTTCGGTCTTGCACTTCACACCAGCATCGATCCTTTCCTTGGTCTCATTCATTGGATGAGGATCTGGTGGAACAATAACAATCCTCGACTTATTCTTAGTTACTATCTTGATGTGATCGAGAATCTTGGAGGTATGTGATTCCCAATTTATTTTTTTATCGCACCTGTACTCATTATTTGGCATGTTAAGTTATGCCACTTGTGTCTCAGAGTGATCCAGGCTCAGAGAACGTTGGGCTTGCTAACGGACACACTCAGCTTCGACACTATCAAGATCCCTCTCTGGTTGGAACATCACAACATCGCTGGATGCGCGAGAAGAAGAATGTCAAGCCAGAGATTACTTGGAGCCAGATGCGTCGCCGATTCACACCAGGCTTTGAGGATATCCTCGATTTTGGTGTGAATCAAGGATGGTATGATCCTGGTGTTCTTCTTGAAGCGTGAGTATCTCCGATTATCTTCCTTTGATTGATGCTGAAAACTTTCACTCAAGTCTCGTGTTCCGCTGGGTTTTTATTCCGTGGCTACAGGCAGAACTAGACAACTACCGAAATCGCGTCAATAATACTGCCAAACGACATGACCGCAACAAAATTCTTCCAAATGGTGTCCCCAGCCACATGTTCGAATTTCCCGAAGACTACGCAATTCTCGACTTCAAGGTACGTGGATGGTCTCACTGAAAGGATTGTATTTTTCATTAAATTGTTCAATTCAGATCAAAGCTGATCCTGTCGGGATTCAGAAGGTTCGTGACATGTATGCGCCTCCCGACCACGAGATTTTCCAGCTCGTTCCATTGGATTTCGAGGTTCTCATCTCCCAGATATATCGGGACATTGGAGAGCCTCCGGTTAATCGGAAGAGCTGTTGGGAGGTGTATCGACGACTACTGTCCGAATTCAACAAGCTCAATGAGCTTCACGTGATGCATCAGAGCGCACACTGGACCCGGGCATTAGAAATGGCGTCCAACGAGTATCCAGACAAGATTGAGGTCCTCCCGAACCTGAAGGAGCTGCGAGGAGGTGAAGACGTTGTTGGGCCTGGCGCGTACATGGGCGGCGTCAATCAGGGTGCTGGATTAGGCAAGTGCTCTTCCTCCGAAGCTTTTGCATCCGTCTCTGACAATGTTATTCTCAGATCCCCAACATTATGCAAGACTCGGTGAAATGCTCAATGAAATTGAGCCAGATCTCGGCCCTGTCGAAGAGGAGCCTGAGAGCTTGTATGCATGGTTTTCGGACGAGGAAGATGATTTAGTAGCAGACGGGGATTGGTAATTAAAAACGTTGTTTTTACTTATGCTCTAGTCTACTACATACATCGTTTGAACTTATGCTCTAGTCAGAAGGTGGTCCCGGGGGTCGCGATCACTCAACATTTGATCTTATATCACTTGCCGAGGCGTATCATTGATATATAGACTCGGTTATCAGCATGTAGTTTTCGACCTCCATACGTCTTCGATTCTCTCTGTCATGGTGCGTGTCAGTGGCGGCGGCCTTGCGGTCAAATCCATCACCAACTCGTTTTTGGTGACTCCATTGGAAGCTATGTGTGTGTTAGTTCTCAATCTCGTCCATAGTGTTGTTCCGGGTCGGGTCGGGTCGGTTCAGAGGCAGGTCGGGTCGGGTCAGAGGTGGGTCGGGTCGAGGGATTTTGCCCGACCCGACCTGGGGGACCGGGTCGGGTCGGGTCGCGGGTCGGGTCTGGGTCGAGACCCGGGTCGGGAGGTCAGAAGATTAGACAAAAATTGCGTTGCATTTTGTATGCAGTGTTGTATGCGAGCGAGAAATAGATATTGAACAATGTTCCAGATGTCTTCGTCCTCCTCTTGCTCATCGGGTTCATCTGCGAGACGGCCATCACATGCTTGAAATTCAGGTTAGGGTTTGTGCGGGGCGTGATCGCGGGGTTGTCCGCAGGGTGGGACAAAGGTGGGAACGTAAAAATCAACAGCCTGTCACATTTGCAGGCTCGTGGCTGCGATCCAGAACCCCACGCTTGCGTTGCAGGGTGCCGCAGACCTCCAGGGACTCACGTGTCAATGCACCTGACGTGACCCGGGTTGAGACCCGGGTCGTCGGGTCGCGCAGATAGCCCGACCCGACCCCGACCCGGTCTCTGACCCGACCCGACCTGGGACAACACTACTCGTCCAATCGGACCACTTTGAGGCACTGGAACACGATATCCAGAACTCCAAGTCGATGGGCTCTCCAGTGAGCTACGATTGAACTTTCTCTAAAACTCTTGTTTGATATGCTATTTTTGGGGGTCTAGTAGGCGCCCAACATTGCCCCATCTCAATCATGATGCAGATGCAACACTGCAAGCGGCGCGACCTTGGCTTTAACGAGTTGGACTGGATCGCGGACCAGTGACCAACATACAAAGACTCCCATAAAGACTCCCGGAGATGTGGAAAGCGCTCCTCACCTCTCAAGATGTCATCCCCTGCAGCAATTTCGGCTGAATTGTCAGCCTTCAAGCAATTGGAGACTGCCTTAAACCACACTTCGATCACCAACTACTCCCTGTGTCAGTCCTTCTCTACTCTCGGAGTGTGACTACTCGCTGAACTTGCCGGTGCAGTGAGCGCGATAGCATTTTATGCGTTTGATTTCAGTAACTATCTTCATTTCTCCGACCCACTCTCCCATTGAACTCATCCGACGACCTAGTTCTGACTTTCCCCGAAGAGGTGAGACTCAGTCCAAGTCAGTTAGGCTTGATTGCTCAATTCAATGACGTGGAAGATTCAATATTTCTGGGTGAGATATCTTGATCAGAATACGCGACATAGTTGCTCATCGAGACATAGGGAGCCAGCTGGTCATTTGTCAAGCTCATATTTTTCCTCGTGAATTTGCCCTTGTGTATATCATGCAAGCCTAATTCTGACACTGTTGACCGTAGAATCGATATCTGGCGTTTCCCGTCCTTGGATTCATGGGATTCTGTGAGCGCGCGCACTTTCTTGTCAACGAGGCGTTTACTTATCTCGGGACAAGCTCAAATATACCGCTCTTCTACTGTATCATTGTAAGTGATGTTCTCGACTCCACCGAATTCTGAGCGCTGATGCCACCCCGATCTGCAGGTGTGCGGATTTTCATGTTCGTTATTTATCGAAAAACGTCTGAATCAACTCAGGCTACGCGCACCAAGCCGTCGGATTGATCTTGTGTGAGAATTATCTAATCATCTGCAGCCTTCGAGCGGTCAGACTGATTATTATTCAGCCGTGGTTTGTGTCGGTGGAGCACAAAGTGAGGTCAGATGCGGGTCTACGACAAGAGACTAACCGACAGTTTTCGTTGGCAGCCATCATGCTACTCCGAGTCCACGCTCTGTTCGGTCGCAGTAAGCACCTGGGATCCGCGGAATTCGAATGCCCTGATCAACCTATACTCAGACAAAACTTTGAGAAACACTCTCGTGGTTTTGTTCGCTGCAGCGCTGACAACTGAACTGCTCATCGCCATCATCAAATTGTCGACAGATCACAGTTCGTTGTTTCGCCTTATAGACTGGACCTGTAGAGACTGACGACATTTCAGTTGTCATACAAACGGTCCCAAGTCCTCTGCTGATCGAGCCTGTGAACTTCTGCAACGGGAAGGCGCCGAGGTATCTCCTCGTCTATCCGTGCGTTAATCCCTTCCACGCCCCAGCCGACTCCAGCAAACTCGCTGATCATCTGTCAGGGGTCCCATGATGGCCTTCGACCTCGCCTTACTCTGTCTAGTCGTTATCCAAAGCTGGCGCATGCGCAAGGAGCAGTTCCCAGGCCGCCAAGAATCGTCCTGGAGCGGCATCCGAGTTCTCAAGGTCATGTTCCGGGACTCAGTCATCTATTTCGCATGGTAGACAACTCTGGTGAACATAAAGCAAGCATACGAGCAACCGGCAGGGGAGGCAAGTTGTCAAGGCGAGGTGTCTGATTTCAGAGTGGCACCACGCCCAGTTGACTCGTTCAACTCGTCACAGAACACAAGTCGAACTCAATTCTGAGTGGTGTAAGTCAGGGTTTAGGTGTTGGCGAACGACTTGTAGTTAGTTGTAAGGAGTGTGCGTATTATTATACATATGTGTACCACATGAATGGACAGTCCGCGATCGGAATACAGTCTATGAATGCGACTGGGATGCCTCCCCCGTAAAGAAATCCTGACAACAAAGACAAAGCTTTTACAACCATCTGGCTCTCAACGCTGCCTCCCTTCTCTCGTCGTCTCCTCGATCGTCCCACATTTCGAAAGACATGGCCTCCCGATCGCTGCTCATGACACGCCCGTATTCCAGGAACAGCCTGCAGACGTGTTAAACGGGAATGCTCGTGGAAGAGAAGAGCCAGACGCACCGATACATATAGGCGACCATGTCCTCCTTCCTCCAAAACGCGTGGCTCCATTTCTGGCCGGCGGCGGCGATCTTCTTTGCCAGATGGTCGTGGGCATTCCGGCCGCTGGGATCGCCTCGGAAGAAGACGAGCGAGTCGATGAGGTCCGAGTACGAGTTTTGAACGGGGATGAAGTGGACCCATGGCTGCACTCGGTCGCTGAACCTGTAAAATGTCAGAGGGAGATTCAGGCGATAGACGATCAGCGGAACACACCATTCTGGATACGTCGTGGCCTTGAAGATGAGCGATCCAGAATTCATCAGACGCTTGAAACGGCTAGACCAGCCGTGGCCATCGACCTGCGATAATCAGCACAGCGACAGTCCTAATAAGGAAGAAACTTACATCGAGGATATACTTGTATTTTGAGGCCGCTTCCAAGTTATGCGGAGTCCGCCACTCAAACATCTTCTCGAGCACTTCACACTGACCGGGTTCGCAGTTACTCGGCCGGCCCCGCTCGCCTCCATGCGTCCCCCCGTTTGTAAAGGCCACGTCAAACAGCGCGTTCACATACCGCGATCTGGGCACATCGACTGGGTCACCCACAGCCGAGTCGTCGCTGGGCAGCAAAACACTGACGTTCGGGGCGCCCATTCCCGACGTCAGCGCTGCGAGCCGTATCCTATGTGAGTCTCTCCATCGGCCTTCGGAAGAGTGCCAGATCCCGGTGTTGCTCCCCCGCCATTGCAACCGTTCGTCTGTTCTCTGTTCCCAGGGCAGATCGGCCTGCGGAGGAAAGTCGTCGCTTACCTAGGATCCGAAAATAAGTGTAAGAACACCGGGGTATATGAGCTAATGTGTGGGCACATACCCAGTTCAGAGGCATCGCGGTCCGGATGTCGCTGTGCAGGGGAGTGACACTGTAGCTGAATTGCGGGATCAGAGATGGATATGGGCCAGGTCCATCGCCGTGGGGTAGGTAGGCACCGTGCTTTCGCATGAGCGCAGGATGCAGACAAGGATCCGTGGTCTCTTTTTGCGAATGAATGAACGATTTGGGTTGATCACGCGTCCGAGGATCACTACGGCTAATGAGAATGGCGCAGCAACGCATAACAAGAGAGTACGCACCCGCCGGGGACACTGGGAGGGGCGGTATTAGGTCGATGACCCTCAAATGGAGGTGGCAGTTCATCAGTGCCCACTGCTAGGTGCGCTGGTGACGAGGGCGGACAAGCAGATACCCAGCCTTGTTTGTGAGCTGGTGGCTGGTTTGGGTCCAGATCTATCAGAAAAAGGGTTAGATAACGCGCGCAGACAACAAGAGGCGCGACGCACGCTTGCCGGCCTTCGCTGCGGCTCGTGCTTCCTGTAGCAACGCCCACTAGAAGATCCATCAGCGACAACGACGGATGTAAACCATTGAACCGACATCGGAAACGATATTGGGACTATCGTGAGGGCTGAACACGGCTCTGAATTCTGGCAACTCCCATTCGACCTCTTCGAGCAGATCGATAACCTGGAACGCGCCGAGCATCAGCTCGTGGCGGACGTTCGGGTCAGCCGGCAGCGTGTAATTCAGCACGCGGAACCGCGTCCGCTCTCTGTCCTTGAGCAACTCGTCTTCCTCCAGCCCCTCCTCCCACCCGTCGTCGTCCACCCCAATTGTGTATGAGTCCCGGTGGGCCTCCCAGTCTCTCTGCGTCTGCTGCAGGACGTCCGGCCGCACGCCATAGAACGCGCCCAAATCCTTCTCGATCTGATCGTACTCATCCGGCAGTTGCACGGCGTGCGCCTGGACGTAGCCCCACCACACGTCGAAGCCCTGCGGCGGCGCGCGGCCGTAGCGCCGGGTGTACTCGGCAACGGCACCCCGCAAAGACGTGCTCGCATTGGCAAGCTTTGCTTCCCATGCTCGAGTGGCTCGATCGATGAGGATGGGAATAGGGTGCGGCGCGAGGGGGTTGACGATGAGGATGCCGTTGGGGAGGAAGGTGTGGTTATGCTGGATTTGTGCCGCTTGCGCATCAACACCGGCACCGAAACCAGGAAGGTCGGGCATCTCAGGGAGGCGGAGGACACCCTGCTGCACATCGTCATCCATCAATGGCATGGGGGGAATCACATCCGTCGGCAGCGCGCGATGTCCCAGCTGCGTTACCGTCTGCGTGAGTGTCTGCGTATGGGTATGCGCGGCCCAATGGGTCATCGTCTCCGTCTCCGTCCTCAAATGCACTTGTGTCTTGGTCACGGTTCGTGCACGGCGGCTGGCAAGCTGGAAGGCGATCCGGGTGGTCTGCTCGGCATCGAGAAACACGGACTCGTCGCGGAAGAAGTGTGTGAGTATGAGGATTACGATGAACAGGGCGAAGGCGAAGGCGGGTTTACGAAGGGAGCGTCGTCGGAAAAGAGCGTGGAGTGGACTAGTCGCCATCATTGTCGAGCACTGTGCATGGAGAGGCTTGAGAAGAAGATGGTGGGAGGAGGGAGCGACTGACCAAGACAGGACGGGTTCGTGCCGGGGTCCGCATGGGAACTAGAAAGGAGTGTGGTGGGATCTCTTGCAGCCGAAAAAACCGAGTTGTCGCGATCGAGTTGGTGGACGCCACTGTTCCGACCTGACTCTCCACGGACTAGGGACTGCGCGGTGACTTCACGGACATCTTATCCTGTCTTCTAGGACGGTTTCAGAGAAGCTGTTCTGTCCGAAGGGGCCAGCTCGTTCGATTTTCGAAGCCTCAGCCGAACAGAAACAGCCAAACGGCCATGCATGCGAGCAGTCAGAAGAAGGTCCCATCATTTGATTGATTTGACAGTGACATGGACGCTGGCAGAACACGATCACGTGTAAGCTACAGCACTAGAACAAAACCACGGCTCCACGACGCGGAGAAACGACGCCCACAACCTTACTCTCCATGTCGAATACTTGCCCGCCTCGATAAGCCACCAAGTCCTCCATTCCAAACGCAGGCGGATTCAGGCCCAATGCTCGTTCTACATTGATGGATGCCATGGCCAATGCTGCGGCTTGATCAATCATCCCGGCAGAGTTCAGCTGGGTCATGGACATGTCAAATCTTGCGTTGCGAGCGAGGTATACTTGGTTGATTCCGATTCCAGTGTTGACTCCGTGTTTGAGGAGGATGGTGAACGACGAATCCCCGGTGAGCGGCGGCCCCGGCATGCTGATGAGTGTTGTTAGCTTGTAGCGAACATACCAACAACGCGAATCACCGACCTTCTCCGCATCTCAAATGCGCCCGGAAATGGTTTCCCGGGGATACGACGACGCTAACGTTCGCCTCGGCGATTTTCTTGGCAAGGAGATGTGCTTCGAGAGCACCAGCGAAGGTCATGCGGAGTGCGCTTCCCGACGTTGCCTCGATCTCGTGCTTGACCATCAGCAGCGTGGCCATGATATCCGCGTTGTGCACCATTACTACGAGAGGGATCTCACCCTGTTGGCAATCAATCGGTCTGATCGTATCCAACACGGCAATGAGACTTGCCTTCCTGACGCGTACCCACGGACCATCCCCCACGGACAAGGCCAATCGCAACGCCGCAATCTGCGTGCTCACGCTCAGCCGCGAGCTCAAGCTGACACCAACATGCAATGCGGTCTCCGTTTGGACTACAGCGCCGGTATCCAAACCATGGCTAGCACCCAGATCAAATGCAGCGGCGATGCCCCGAGTGAACCGCCCAATTGGCGCAGAGATCCCGGTAGTCACTCCGGCGCGGTAGGCAAGTCTGGTCAATAGCATTAGTATGTAGCCCAGACCAAATGAAATACCATTCACAGCGCATGCCGACCCCCAAATTGAAGTCCGTCGACTGCGCGAATGACGCTGTGTCCCAGAATACTTGGGACCGGCCCACGCAACTCGTCAAACACCGCCCCATCCATCGTAGAAGGCTCCATCTCAATCTCGCTCAACCCGAGATTGGTTCCGAACGACGTAAGTCCTGGAGACAGCGAACCTCCCTCGAGATCGACAGTCTCGATATCGCCAGCATCCAAGTGAGCACACGCAGAATCCGAGCTGCATAACACCTTGCCGTTCCCCACAATCACACTGAAGCTTGTATTTCCACCATAGCCGGTGTTTCGGTCCAGGCCGTTGCCTTCCACGCTCCTTGTCCACAAGCTCTTGACGCCGACGAACTTGACTAGCCCTCGATTCAAGCGACCCTCGAGAGGCGGGAGTCCGTCAAACGCGAGCGTGTTGTTAGTCTCTTTGTCCCAGTTCGGGGTGGCCGGCGCATTCTGCAAAGACGCGGGCTTGGGTGTCACGAATGGCTTTTCGATCTGCGGGATCCATCGATATAGACCTGAGCCGGAATGGCACCGATCGCCAGTGGGTGAGAGTCCCAGACAACGATATCCGCATCGTAACCTGTCTTGTGTCTATTTGGGTGGATGCCAGGAGGAGTGAATCGCACCTTCCGCGACCAGTCCAACTCTCCATTCCACCCCCAATGCAGCGGCAGGTTTCGTAGTGACAGCAGACAGAGCAAGCGCCGTGGCAAGTCCGAAATAGTGAGCCTGCTGCGCCTCAAACATCAGGAAACGCGAGTCTGTCACAGCGTGATCGGACTGGGAGGGGATCAGTCGGGCACGAAGAGGGGGCGAGCAGAACAGACCTTGATGACCACAGACAGGTTGTGTTCCGAAAGGATGCGGGCATTGAATTCAGATGTTCGATAGGTCTCGCGTTTCGGTCTGTTCATTCGATCAACACGTTCGGTGGGGCCGTTTCGAATCCCTGAATCACCTGTAGTCAGACGCAAAGATCGCAATGGCTGGTGGCCCTCCCCAGGCCGTTTTGATGAGGTCTGGAACTAGATACGTGCTTGTAGCATGATGAATAGACGCGATCGGAAACTTGAACTCGTTCGTGAGCTGGTTGACAAGTCAAATGGCAGGGCCAAGATCAAGATTTGAAACAGACCCGCATGAGAGAGTCCAGATCCACTGGCTGTTATATGATATCAATGAATATGCACGAATAATTCGATCCGCCGGACCTCATAGCAGTGGGTAGATATCTAGGACAGCAAAGCTCAGAAGCATGGTAGACGAGAATGGCTATGGACATACCCGGACACGGCCTCTGAGGACATCCACCAGCGACTCCCACTGGAGGCTCTCCGGAAACTCGGACTCGCCGTCCCACAAGCCTTGCTGAGCAGCCTTGCAGAAGGCGTCCTGGGCGTCTCGAATCTGACGCGCCGCGTCGTAGGCTCGCCGAAACTCCCATGTGGCGTCCATGCGGGTTTGCGAATGAACACGGAGTGTGTTCTCGCCACACGCGTGTCTGGATCGAGCTTAGGCTGGCGTTGGGAGCGGGGGCCGCGTGTCATACATACTTCATATGCCGCCACCGGGGTCGCTGATCGGCGTTTGTATCGTTGATATACAAGTTGCCCGGCGGTTCGAGGAGCATCGAAGACGTGGACCGTTCTGCTGTGGGTCGCAATTTCATGAGGAATGCCTGACCGCCTGGCATCTCTTAGCTTTCTTCATGTTGTCGTTCTCACGAGGCGAGCACGCACCGATGTTGTTCGCGCTACCTGGCACAACCTGCGCCGTCGTGACACCGCCGGACATCGTCAGCCGGAACGCGTCGTCGTGCGTGTTGAGACCGTCGACGCTACGCAGCCAAGGAAGGATGGGAGCTTTGCGCGAATTGGCGTCCGACGAGCCTTGGGTCATTGCACTCAGCGCCAATTTGTTGAAGAAAAGAAGATACAGCGCACCAGATAAGAACGGCGAGCTCCCGACACCGAGATGCGAGTGTGCATCGACGATTCCGGGTGAAACCCATTTCCCCTGCACATCGACCACATCGATGTTCTCCAGTCCGCGCTCCTTCGCCAGACCCTGAACATCAGGCATTTCCTGAAGCACGGCCACAATGAGACCCTGATCGAGTAGAATGCTCGCGCCGCGAATGATCTCCCGCCCGTCGTCCCTTCCTGTCCAAAGCGTCGCATTACGCAGTAGTACCGGTCGCGTGCCTGGGACGTATCGGTCTGACGTCTTGCGGTCCGTCGGATAGCTATCTGAAGGCAGAATCGGCGCGAGAATAGCTGTACATTGCGCAGGGATCCTCAGAGACGGTGGGATTAGACTATGAGGTGTCGTTCGACGCGTTTTGTAGACGAGGCGGAGACTTGTGAGCACGAGTGCTAGCGTCAGGGGGTAGTAGAGGAGGCGGGGCACCCAACTCTTCTGCATCGCCATGGCTGATGACGGCTGGCGGAAGATAAGACGGTGTAAGACTGCGACATCCTTCGCGTCGCTCGATAAGCTTGCGCAGTTGGGGCGGGTGATCGCCGCGGCTTTGATTGATTGGATCATCGATCACTGATGACATCTAAGACGAGTTCCAATCTATGAAAGGTGCACTGTGGCCTTGGACAAGCCCTATGCGGTTTTGCCCGAGAATCGTCGGAGAGGCTTGAAGGAAGTTCATACTACGTTGAGGTACTAGGTGACACATCTCCGAATACTCACCCATGGACTACTAGTACCGCGGATTCGATGGTCCATCGATCTGCCAATATGCGAATGAAACATACTGGGATCGAGGATATGCTCATGGTTCCAAGAAATCTTCCATAATTTCCAAGTTGTCTCGTCCACAAGCAGTAAATCTACTTTTCGTCGTGAACCGACTGTTTTGTTTCGCCCTGCTCCATCCGCTTGTTCTTCGAAGCCCTTTGAGAGCCCCGACGAATCCTGTATCCATAGACGTAGAACACGAAGGGTATGGGCCCAATGAGCAGCGATATCAGAGCCAGGAGCAGACCAGCCCATTGGAAACCATGTGGGCGAACATCTGGTTGACGTACAACGGGACGGCCGACCCGATGAGGGAACGCATGATAGTCTTTGCGGCGATGGCGGAGGCTGCGTAGGACGAGTACGAGTCGACGATGTAGGAATTGGCCGACACGTAGATGAGGATCATCGAAAAACCAAACAGGGCGCCGGCAACACATGGCCCCATAAAGTTGACCCAAGAATAGGCGCCCGTGAATGCGAAGATGAACAAGGCGATGGGCAGGACGCTTGAGCTTCGTGAGCATGGAACGAACGCAATCGAAGATGAGCACGCACATCGCCCCGACCATCATGGGATACAGACGTGCTTCGGGAAATGTGCCATAGACAGTGACGCGCGCGTAGAGCTTCTCCTGCTGAGGCATGCATACCATCGCAATGGAGATTCCGACCTTCCGACGCTCAGAGAAAGAACTCAGATGCAAGGGCCGTGCTCACGATGATGCTGACGAATGTGACGCCGGTCATACCGGGACTAAAGCCTCGGATCTCGGCAAACGTGATAGGATAGGCAAAGAACAAAAGATCTAGATGGTGGGTGGATCAGCTGGAAGTGCGCGCGCCAAGAAACAAACACGGAGCATACAGAGCAGGCTGTACACGAAGGACAGATCTATCGAGAGGCGGTGAACATGGAACGTGCGTCAGCGATGATCAACTCACAAAAGGACATGAAGAGCACCACTGGCTCAGTGAAGACCATGATCACTGGACGAAGTAGAGCTGTGCCCAGGGTCTGGGAGAAGGGTATATGCTCCAGTTCGCCGAGCGATCGGTAACTGTCGTCGCCAGTTTCCTTGCGGAGCCTCGCAGCCTTACGTCTCAAGAGCACAGGTGACAATGTCTCAGGGATGAAGAGGGTCATGGCGAAAGTTAGACCAGTGAATATGAAAAGGACCCAGTCTTGTCCAGGCACTTGAGAAAATGAAATCAATGAAGCGAATGAAGTCACGAACAGATCCACCGCCAGCCGGCGTACATTCCGATCCAGCCTCCCACCAGCGGTCCTGAGACAATTAGTCTTTTTCGCGGTCCATTCTTCTCGATTGAGACCGACCTAGACAAGGACCCATGCTGCTCGGAGTCAGAACGCTGCCTTCGAGGCAGATATGCATGTGACGTACAAGATCGTAGCAGAGAAAAACGCCATTGGTAATCCTCGGTCCTCGACAGCCCACACGTCGGCCACGCTACAGAGTTATCACGTCATGAGAATTCGAGCTGCGCCCAAGATCCGCCCACAACGCACCTTCCACCGACATTGCACATGGGTGCCGAAGCAGCCAGTCCGGCCAGCTGTCGCGCGACGACGAGCGTAGCAGCATTCTGCGCCAGGGCGCTGGGCATTGTAAAGATAAAGTAGAAGAACATGCTGATCGCGTAGATGGGCGTTCTTCCAATGACCTCCGAAAGTGGCGCGAAGAAAAGGGGTCTGCGATCGCATAAGCAACTAGTTGGTTGACTGCAATGGGGAGGCTGGTACCCTACGCCAAAACCGATCACAAAACATGTCACCGACAGGTTCACGGTCTCTTGCGTCGTATGCAGGTCGGCCACGGGTCCCTGTAGGCTGTGGGCCAGTCAGTGACAAAACGGCCGCTCAGAGGAGAACACCCACTCTCCGGTGATGATCGAGCTACCGAGAGCGACAGCCAGGCATACTGCAGGATTGGTCTATTGTTTTTGAACGCAAGACAAGGAGCGCTCTCACAGAATGCTGTTGTCATCGTCACATACCTGTTCAGCCACGATAAGCCGTGCAGTCAAATCAGAAAAAAACACGCAGACACACCATTTCCGTCCCAAGCTCCATTCTCTTGGATCCTCTCCCGCACCCGGCTCAAACTTGACGACGTGCTTCCCGCGCGCATGAAATTGGCTTCAAGATCGCCGAGACTGTGTGACGAAGAGCCCAGTTTCGTCGCGGTCTGGCTCGGAAGTGGGCCCTCGTGTTCCAGCTGTCGGAATTCCTCCTCCTGTGCCCTGCTGAGCGCAGCAGGGTACGCGAGCTCTGCTTCGATGGGCTCGGAGGGCATACCGGGTGGGGGGATAGGGTGGCACTGAATGGGGAAGCCAGCATACCGGATGGGTTGGCATTTTATAGGAACGATGCTATCGAACCACAAGTAGAGTTCACCCAGTACGTGCTCAAAAGTTATCATGCAACGGAAAAGCCGGGTATTCATTGTGCAGGCGCAATCAGCAACGCTTGCTGAAATGTTGCCTAGCCGATCATATCTCCGTGGGGATGGTAAGAAAAACAGTGCTGGCCAGCTGAAGTGGCAGTCCGTTCATCTTTGTCGTTGAGTAGACTCGAGAGAGAGTCGGAGCTGACACAGAAGAGCTGAGGGAAGCCTGTAAACAAGAACGTGACCTCGGCATTTCGGCATGTAACGATCACGTGAGAAGCGTGTCCATCGGCCGCGCGTGATCGGACGCAAGACAGTAATCGCTAGTATGATTGTCCAGCTGAAGTAGGAGACGGCGTACCTGTTTTGGGGGATAAAATTTGCTCCATACGCAAAGTCCTTTGCCTGCTGCAAGACCCAGCATCGAACACAGATGGAGAATCTCCCTCGCTTAGTTCACGAGGGAACGGGTCACCACAAAAGCTTTCTCCTAGCTGGTCACAGAAGCATCCTAGGGGTGCATTAGAGGGCTCTTGCCAAGGGCTAATCATGATTGTCATCATCACTTTCCACCTTCAGGAACAGGACTATCAGATGACGCCAGTGCTCCGGACCGCAGTTTTTTTTTACCTAGGATCAACTAGAGTGCGGCATAGACATGCTGATATGTACTTGGTATATCGGGATGCATTCAAGCTAATCAAGTGAAACAGTCAATATATACTGCGCACAGTTGGGGCAATATAATGAACGACATTACCAGTAAGTAAGTAAAAACGACGGCGTGCAAAAAACTCTAATAGAGATGAAACCGTTGCTGCAGGCACGTTTTTCTGACTCAGACTTGAAACCATGAAATTTGTGAGTCCCCCAAGGTTTGAGTTGGCCCAAGTCGGCTCCTCGGCTCCTCCGGACGGTGGCGCGGTTCGACGACGATGTTCGCTGTTGTTGTTTGCGCAGTTGAGCTCTTCTTTGGCACGCGAGAAGGCTATTCGATTACTCGCGTGGAACCGGCGACCCAGCAACGAACCGTGTGATGTGGCGGACGAGAGTTGTAATCCCGCCCGTCACTTGCCGTGGGTTTGAGCTTGTCCAGGGAGAATCAAGGCGAGACTAGCATCCTGTGCTGTCAATATTTGCGGTGGCAGAGAAGAGTCCGAGGGGATTACGTTTCCTGCAAGGAATTCGACGACCCTGAGAAGCAGGAAAGACGCTTCACGAAGAGATAATTTGGAGTCGAGCCGAGACACAGGCGTCTGAGTGCCACACACCAAAATGACAGCCAAACCAGAACCTGCATTTCCCTAGGATTCTTCAGAGTAGCATCCAGGTTTTAAGATTTAGACTAATTCCAGAACGTATCCTTCTGTTGTGTATTTGACTCAGAGATATCACACACACGGGGATATATATATCGGACCAAAACAGATCTGTGAAATACCGTCAGTGTCAGACCGAATAACACTTGGACAGCACTCCCTGATGTTGTTGGTTGTTCCCCGTTCTTGGTGACCGCCACCGTCACTTTGACAGGAGAAACATGAAGCGAAAGCTAGAGGCGCAGCGATAGCTCAGCGAGTTGGCCTGGGACGGGGTAAATTGCTGCGCTAGGATGCAAACGCATACTACGTACATCAAACGGAGGAGGCCGGGCACAAATGCGGTAGTGCGAGCGCTCTCGCCGGTGTTTGCGAGGTAGTTGGGGCATCATTTCTAGGATTGGAACTGGCCACCAAGGTCTCGGCAAAGGCTAATGTCTGCACATGAGTTCATTCAACATTGAGAATTAGAGTGCCCACTCGGAGGTGCTTACCTCCGGTGCCGAGTCCAATTTTCTTCAGTTACTTCCGATGTCCACGTATCTACAAGCATGAGACAAACGTTGACGAGGTGTTAACAGGGTGCAAACCATCACAACCAACTTCTCGCAGTCCCTGAATGGGCAGACACATGACAGTCAGTGGGCGACATAACCTGCTAGGGCCACTGACGCCCACGTTTGCGTGAGCCGAGAGAGCTGAAAAATCACGCATAAATGAGCAGACACTCACCAGTAAGATGCGGATAATCCACGATGCGTAGCTAAGAAAAACCAAGCTGGAAATGTTCGCTTGGTTTGGCCAAGAGGACCGTGATCGGACGAAACGATCCAATTGAGCAGACACGATCGGGCTAATGCACGATCGCGTTATGTTCTCGGGATGATCGGTGCGAAGACAGGCTCTGTCGGCCAGATCTAGAGAGATGCCGGTCGAAAAGCCGTCGGAGAGTGGCACAGGCTGCAAGCTCTTGAGCGCCCTTGCAGCGCGATTTCAAGATTCGAACCGAAGCTCATACTTGTCTGTCTGCGGTGATTCTCTGTGCGACTGGGAATCGCGCGAAGGAGATATTTCCCAGGACATTCCGAGCTAGAATCGTGTAAACCGGGATCCTCGCCTCGTAAGGGTAGCAGCGACGGTGACCTAGACAGTCACGGATGAGCTCCCGCGAATCGCGATTTAGAATTCATTCGGGGCAGATGTAGTCTTATATTGTGAGAGTAATGGGGTCATTCGGCTAAAAAGAGTTTTAAGCTCCAGACAATGCATGTTAGAGAAGGTAGGCACACAAAACGAAGGGAAGCATGCGCCCCAGCTCGGCTCGGGCTCACCGATTCGCACAACCACTTTGGACGCCGAAACTTTGCCCAACAGCAAGTGTCCCAGCAAGGCCAGCTGCGCCAGTCCACAGGCTTCAGGATACTTGCCCGTAAGCAACCTTTGCAGATTTGTCCACTGTTTGGCCCATGAGGTGAGAGAGCAAGCGCCAGGAATGATCGCCGCAGCGTGATTGGTCCCCGCGGATCAATTGAAATTGCCATATACGCAATTAGACTCCTCGGTACCCCGATATGGAAAGGGCGCGACTGGTAAAAAGACGACCTCTTTCTGCTCTTCTCTCTTCTGCTATTTATTCCAGCAGTACCCACCCATCCCCAAACATGAGTCTCTACGCCGACTACCCGTTCCCATGGTCCTTCGAGGCACCCCCACCTCCACCCTCGCGTTCAACTACTCTTCCCCGCGTCGCGCTCGCGGCAGTCTGGATCCAACGACGGGGATCTTCTACCGCACTCCAGAGCACCCTAGACTGCGTACTGCGCAGGCATGCGAGAAATGTAGGACACGGAAGGCAAAGGTACGAATCCTGTTCACTTCAACTGCCCTCGCGGCTGCAGTGGAGCTGATCTCCATACGTCAGTGCTCTGGTGATCACCCTCATGCGCTCGTTGCCTCGCAAGAGGGGCTTACCTGCGAATATGCCAAGGAGGGCCGCATTCGCGGACTCAACAAGACGAGGTCCCGCGGCTCACCGTCTGATTCTCCCGTGTTGTCGTCATTGCACCATGCGGCGCGCGGTAGACCGCCCCACCACTGAAACTAGAGCCTCTCAGCTCTTGCCTGCCGATATCCTTGCTCGAAAGCACCCTGCACCTACTGAACGGCAGCCTGACTGTCTCCACGAGTTCGAGCACGGCTACGGCCTCGACGCTAAATACCACCGTCGCAGTTCGATCAGCTTACATGAGCTCGACGTCTCTGCCCAATCCTGCGC